TATATATATATATATATATATATATATGTGTATATATATATATATTCCTTTGCACTAATTAACAAAACAGTTGATTATGCAATCATATTTTAAAGAGTAAAATGGTAAATAGCACCAATATTTTGAATTCAAAAGTAATTTTGAATGAGTCCTCTTGTGTTGGAAAATAGAAAAACATTCATTGTTATGTTCCTTGCCTTTTAAGAGTTAAAGATCTGTCCATTGCTAAATAATATACTGAAATCGTTTGTATGAGTAATTCTTCTTTTTTGTTTTACAGTAAGCCTTTGGTGTGCCTGTTTTCTGAAGGCTTTAAGCGAAATCTGCTGTGTTTTCTACATCTGATTCACCCTGGACTGCCCAAAGACCATGTTCTCCACCTGCTTCAGTGTCTGACTCAGGATGACGTGGAAAATCAGTGGACTTGTGCCTTAATCAAGCAGCTCCAAAGAGATATTGAGGGCACTAGGAAAGGGACCCTCCTCACCTCAGACGGTACAGGGAAACTAAAGAGTCTCTGTGAGAGATTCAGGAATGCTAATGCAAAAGGAAAATGGGCTTATTGTTTTGAGGCTCTTGAAGCAGAGGATAAAGAGACCAACATGCCAGTTTTATCTCAGAAAAAGAGGAAAAGTGACAACATGGATCATGATGGAGATGCCCAAGAAGATCACCAAAGTAAAAGGGTAAAGATGGATTTCTGTCCAAGTGAAGAAGAAGAGAGGTTGACTGAAGAGGAGGAACCTAAAATGAGAACGTCACAGCTGCAACAGAGTGCTGCTTCTGTATCACAGGCTCGCTCTGATGTGTTGGGGTCTTCAAAAAATCTGCCAGACCACATGAAGGTACAGTGGAATTCAATGCAGTTAAACTGATTTTCATTCTTACAAATAGCCTATTTTACATAATTTGACCGTTAAAAGTTCATAGACAGATAGGTTATTAAAATCTCTTCATGTATTAACCTCAGAAAAGTTACTGTTCTTCAGGATAAATACATTTAATTTCTAACATTTTAACATTCCCTTTTTAGGCTGCTGTTCCTGTGATCAAAGAATTACTAGATACAGAGTCAGCAGTAAGAAATCTGCTTTATTATGCAAATGTAATTGCTTTTATCTTTTTAATTTGTATAATTTTTTACATATTTTTCCTTCACAGTGGGATGAAAGCTCTGTGTCTGCTCTGAAAGTATTTCATGAATGTGACCCCAATGAGGTTTGTGGGTTTGCCTTGAAAATGAATTGCTTTTTGGATTCATTACTCCAGAAATGTTTCCATTAGTATGGATTTGTTGTATCTGATCACAGGTGGAGGTATTGTGTTCGATGCTGTGTTTGTCTGAAGCATCTGAACAGAGCTTACCTCAGTTCTGTAGCTGCCTGTTGGATTTGTCGCCAGACCTGAGTCACAGCACTGCTTCTGCTGTGATCACACACCTTCTGCTGCCAAAAGTTAGTATGTTCACAAACTTCACATTTGTCACAGGTTACCTTCTTAAAAAGATTTTAATCATATCAGACAACATGGGGGAAAAATGTGTTAATGATATTAAATTAAATATATTTTTGTGGGGGGGGGTAATTGGGGGGGGTAATTTCATTTTTTTTAAAGAAATGAAATTACTTTTATTCAGCATTAAATTCATCAAAAGTGACAGTAAGAAAAACTTGATTGTTCTATTAATTTAAAAAAATATATTTAAAAAATGTATCATGGTTTTCACAAAAAATATAAAGCAGCACAACTTTTTTCATCATTGATAATAGTAAGAAATGTTTCTTGAGCTCCAAATCAGCATATTAGAATGATTTCTGAAAGATCATGTGGCACTAAAGATGGGAGTGAAGGCTGCTGAATGTCATCAAAGGAAAAAATCATATATAAAATAGAAAACAGTCACATTAAATTGCAATAATATTTCACAATGTTACCATCTTTACTATATTTATTATCAAATATATGCAGCCTTAGTGAGCTTAATAGAGTTTTTGTAAAAACATCAAAAATCGTACCAACCTGAAACTTTTGAACTGTAGTGCGTATAGGTGTTTGGTTCCTTTTATGGTTTGTTTTTAATTGAATTTGTAAGTATTATGCTTTAAATACAGCTTTTAAGTGTTGTTTTTTTTATATAAGTGTAATCGCACTTATATATATGCATTTCTCTGCCTTAGATTCTGTCCCTTGCAGAACCTGCCTCTCGCTGTTTGGTAACAGCAGCAATGTCTCTTTGCACTCGTTACCCCAGGCCGACCTGCCAGGCTCTGATAGAGCCAGTTTTACGGAAGGGTCAAACTGGTATGCAAGATTATATTTACCATTATTATTTGTTATATACTTAATTTCAGCCATCTTTTCAGTAAATACTAACTCTATTTTTCTTTAGGAAGCGCCCAGGCAGAGGTACTCTGTAGACTGGTTGTGGACTGCCTTGAGCCACATCACAGGCTTCTTGTATTTCGGTCAGTCTGAAGATCACAATTCAGCTTTCAGAAAGAAATAGGTCTTGGTCATTTCTGGAATATATTATGCTTGAGTAATCAGTTTAGCTGATCACAGAAATGTACTTCTAAATCTTAGAACAATACTTGGAGTGTCCTGGGATGAGGGAGTGTTATCAGTCATCCATGCACTGCTGGATTCAAAGGTACTTCAGAAAGCTGTTTTGAAATCTTTAAGGGTCTTTTAGTCCTATGTTAGTGGTTTCTGCTGTTATGCTCACAGCTTGAGCTGAGTGAGGAGGATTTCTCTCTCTTCACCGATCAGCTTTGCAGCCAGTCTCCACATTTCAGCAAATCTATGAAGTTTGCCAAGATGTTGCTGAGCGTCTTGACCAAGTATCAGTCACATGTGAGTATAACTGTAATGACTGGAAATAACTCATTCAGAAAGTTTCAAAAAACATCTCAACAAAACCTTCAACCACAATATTAAGTATAATTTTATGATCCTCACAGCATCTAGACTACTATGACAACTAATTATGCTCCATATGCAAATTTCAGAGGCATAGAAAGTAACCAATAAAAATCACAATAATAAATATCTAGATGTTAAACTGTTTTTTAAAGCTAGCATAAAACTGCTGATTAATAAGTTTTTTTTTTTTTTGCTTTTAGGTGAATCCTGCATGCCACCACACACTTTCCAGTTGACTGTCTTTCAATGAAACCTTCCTCAAGAAATCATTGCAGGCTGCATTAAAACGGATTTCCCTTTGAATCATATTATGCCCGTTTTAAATGCAATGAGTTTCAGTCATTCTGATTGTAAAAAGTTGTGTATATATTTTGTAAATGTAATAAAACTTATTTGTATTGTATAGTTGTATTGAGATAAAAAAAAAATATATATATTGAATTGGATAACTCTTCATATCAACAGGGCTTAAAGTTCCCCAGCACCGTTCCGGTGTTGTGCCGAATTCTGACCCTCACCGGATCATTACCCCCCTAGTACTGGTAGGTTTAGGGTTAGGTGTGGGGGAGGGGTTAGGATTAGGGAATCGGGTAGCGATTTCAACGAGGGGGGGTAATAATAATAATCATACCTTTAAAAAAACTTGAGTTCGCCTACCAATGGTATGAGAGAAGCACAGCTTTCACTCTCAACCAAGCTAACGTTACTAGAAAATCAATTTTTTTTGCTCTTATAAACATGAGAGGCGCATAATACTATTCAATTGCAGAGTCGCAGCCCTGATGAATGGAGAAGCGCGACACGAGAAGAACGATATTATTACCAGAACAAATTTACCTGGATTTTCGAAAAGGTCCTGTTCACATGATCTCTATCTCTTAATGGTAACTTATGGTAATTTACCAGTAAAGACTATGCGTGAAAGGAGCTAAACTGTTCCTCTGAATGCTGTGAATTTGAATTGCTTAAGGTTCATCTGGGAAAACTGTGTTCATTATCTCACTATCTTTGTAACGTAAATCATTTATAAACCTTTGCCAACACAGGAGAATACATCAACCTATTTCTAAATATGCCATTTATTGTACATCGGGATTTCAAAATAAAAGTTTCTAAGTTTGCATGTGGCCAAATATGAAAATTTAATGGATTTTTTAAACATTTAAACAATCACGCTGTAAAGTGAAACGTCACTAGGCCGTTGGCGCCCTCTGCAGGTATTTGTTTTAATACATATTAGGTTGGTTATGTTCATATTATGTATAGGCATATTACATTATGTATTTTAACAGTGTTGTTCAATAAACCCATGTGATTACTTGGTTTTGATATTTTATCTGAGCCAATTATTATTGCCTCATCGTTAGTTTATATTTAAATAATCATACTAAAGCCTGGTTTTCACTTAGGTCTGTTTGTTACTAAAAATATCAGATTACTCAGTTGTCAAAATAATCGGTAGATTACTTGATTACCAAAATAATCATTAGTTACAGCCCTAGATTAGTTAAAATATTTCAAAATACAACTGCATTGTTTTACTTTTTGTAATTAAAAGACAAATACTTTGTCATTGAAAATTTAGTAAAAATAGTATTGAAAT